TGGTAATTGGTTGCAAACGCAATAGCCACTGAATGCAGAGCCTGTGTCTATGCACAGGCGGGCTGCCGGCTGCACCCTCTGTGCCCTCGGTGGCACCCCAGTGCCCTGATCCCCGTCAGCTATTTCAGACACTCCCGACTTCCTCAGGCTCCTCCACTGTCATCTCCAGCTCCCCTTGACTCAGCCCTGGTGCCACCTCCTAGGCTCCCCCAAGAAGCCTTTAGATGCTGAGCCTTCCACGCCGTCCTTGGCACGCAGACTCAGACGAGTCCGCTCCTGGCTCGTCCTTTGCTTGGTCCTTCCCATCCCCTTCTTCCTGTTCCCAGGCCAACCTTCCAGCTGAGCCCGGTCACGTCCATCCTGCCTAAGAATCCTGCTCAAGCTATTAGGAGCAGTTTGAGTCATTTTACCTTGAAACAGCACAATAAGAAACCTTCCCCCTTCATCCCCTTCCCTGGGCTCTCCCTCCCTTCCAAGCTCTCAAGCTCGTCCACGAGGGGTCTGCACCTGCTGTGCCCCCTTCCCCGCTCCCCCTGTGGACCCTCCCAGCGCACCCACAATGCCTGCCTTCTTCTTACCTGCCGTCGTGCAACCAATGGCCATTTTCTGTGTGCCCTCCTGAAGCGCTGATATCCTGGCCTCCCTGCGGATGCTCCCCACCCCAAGAACTCCAGGGGCTCCCTTCACCACCCACACGAGCCCATGCTGGGGGCCTTGGCCCTGACTAGGCTTCTCCCCATAGAAGAGCAGTGCTCTGAAGGTCTGGGTCGGGTCCTGGGGATTTCTGCAGCCCATTTTATAAAATTCTTCAATCAGTGGGGTGGGAGGAGACACAGCCCACGGAAACCACTGTCGGGAGCTGATAAAACTTCTTTTATCAAAAAGCTGAAGACAACCCTGGTATCAATGCAAATGAGCAGCTTCTTCTCATCCCTAAAGCACCGATTCCCTTGGTTTTGCACAAATTAACAGATTATCTTTTAATATGTTAAAGTCTCCAGCTGGCGGTGCAAGTCTCGGTGGTAATCCACAGGCACCCTGCATCCTGCAAGCTGGCCCAGCTACCAAAGACAGATCCCTGTTAACTCAAACTCGGCTTGGAGTTAGACATGGCTTGTTCCAGTTCTCTGCAATCAGCACCTAGACATGGTTCTGAAGAGCTAGAACTTTCTCTCCCAGAATACCTGGTTAACCAGACTCCCTTGTCCAATCAAGAGAGAGCTGAGCTCACCACAGTTTTTAAGGAATAACCCCCCTAACAGTTTTAGATCACTGAGTCTGATAGAAACAGGAATATTTAAACCACCGTAAGTCATTTGCAGAGACAAAAGAGACTGGAGGAACCCCGGAGCTCTTACCGTCCAGATTATCGTCCTGGTATTGTCCAGAGCACTTGCTCCTTCCACCCAGCGAAGGGGCTGGACCCCGTGGAGGCAGAGCCGTGGGCCCTGAGCTTTGTGCAAGTGTGACGGGAACTGGGGTGTGGGGGCGAGGGGCCACCAGAGAGGCAGGGGCAGGCAGGCTCCAACTCTGCACAGGGTCTGCACAGGACTGTCACTGTCCCTGTCCTCCAGACCCCCGCAGGGCTCATCTCAGATGTCCTTCCTTTTTAAGTTGTCCTTGATGCTCAGTTTCCCAAATGCCACCCTCTCTGTCAAAGGGACAGGGACAGGGAGGGAAGGCGCTCACAGCAGGGCCCGCCCATCTGAACGGGACCCTGCGTCCTTCTTGAGTGACGCTGGCAGATGCCTGGCTGGATTTGTCCTGAATGCGACTCGGGTCTGATGCGTCCCCTCCCCTGTGGAGGCCACCAGGGACCAGGAAGGGGCTTGTGTTGTCCGTGTGGCCTTGACGTTTCTCCCAGGTTCAGGGCGGAAGACAACAGCCTTCCTCGTGTGCTGAGTCCGAGAGGAGATTCGGTCACCCGTCCCTCCTCGGGCCCCAGTTCAGCCACACCGGAGCGAAGCTGAGGCTTCCCGGTGCCCTGAGAAGGAATCCCACCCACCGAGTGCCCGCCCCACCCCTCTCCCCCATGTGGGGGCATTTGGTAGAGGGGACAGGGGAGGGGGAACATTGTACCTGGACCACCAAAGGGAAAACATCCCCCCCCCCCGAAAGCGCACGGCCTGGCCCCCGCAGACACGTAGCCCAGCCTGTGTGTCTGCGCTAAGACAGGTGTAATCCCAGCCGCTGGCGGCCACCCAAACACCTGCGCCCCAGCAAGGCCCTCGATGGCCCTTGTCTCACGGGCCTCCACTGGGAGAGGTTCTAACTCCCAGAGTGCACGAAGCCAGGGAGGCAGCCGACGCGAGACACACTCGAACCCAGTCGATGCTGACAACTGAAATTGGCCCTTAAAGAATGAAACAGAGGCCGGGCGCTGTGGCTCACGCCTGTAATCCTAGCTCTTGGGAGGCCGAGGCGGGCGGATTGCTCAAGGTCAGGAGTTCAAAACCAGCCTGAGCAAGAGCGAGACCCCGTCTCTACTATAAATAGAAAGAAATCAATTGGCCAACTGATATATATATAAAAAATTAGCGGCATGGTGGCACATGCCTGTAGTCCAGCTACCGGGAGGCTGAGGCAGAAGGATCGCTCGAGCCCAGGAGTTTGAGGTTCCTGTGAGCGAGGCTGACACCACGGCACTCACTCTAGCCTGGGCAACAAAGGAGACTCTGGTCTCAAAAAAAAAAAAAAAAGAATGAAACAGAAACGGTCCTTTGTCCAGAGGGAGACACATGGAGACTTATGACATAGCACGGGCCATTTTGAGGCAGTGACTCAAGGGAATCTATAGCTGATAATCTAACAAACAGAAGAGGTTTCATTATGCTCTAAAATAGCACCGGCCACTGCGAGAGAGAAAAGAGCTGCATCAGTCCTGACATCAGCACCGCACTCAGACACCCCAGGTAACGCGGCTCAGAAGGAAAGTGATTTAAATATAGAAGCTCGCAGGGAAGGCTGTTTACTGCGAGGAACATTTACTGCTGCTAAACCAGACTCCATCTCCGGGGGTCATTTCCTTCCTCCGCCTCAAGAGAGGCGGCCACCCTGACTTTGGGGGAGGCAGAAAGCGTAGGAGACCGCGGGATTAGGAGGCAAGTACATGACTAAGGTCAGATGGAAGGAAGATGCCTTCCTCCCAACGCAAGTGATGACTGGCAGTCCCGATGCTTTTGCAGAAGAAATTAGGCATCAACTGCCTTGTGATCGTCCAAATGTAGCCTGGAGGTGAAGAAATGAATTCACAAACTAGATACCATTGAAACTAGAATAAGAGGCTGGGTGTCGTGGCTCACGCCTATAATCCTAGCACTCTGGGAGGCCGAGGCGGGCGGATTGCTCGAGGTCAGGAGTTCGAAACCAGCCTGAGCAAGAGCGAGACCCCGTCTCTACTATAAATAGAAAGAAATTAATTGGCCAACTAATATATATAGAAAAAATTAGCCTGGCATGGTGGCGCATGCCTGTAGTGCCAGTTACTCGGGAGGCTGAGGCAGAAGGATTGCTGGAGCCCAGGAGTTTGAGGTTGCTGTGAGCTAGGCTGATGCCATGGCACTCACTCTAGCCTGGGCAACAAAGGGAGACTCTGTCTCAAAAAAAAAAAAAAAAGAAACTAGAGGAAGAGACATTTTTCTATTGAGGGTCACAGACACACACGAAAGAGAAATCACTGAAGGGCCTCACACAAATGAAAAGCAACCTAATTGAGTTTTTTTAAGAAACATAAAATAATACAAAACAACCCAGTCATCTATTTCCTAAATCAGGAATAAAAAATATTAAACTGTATGCAATAAGCAATAAGACCAAGCTTTGATCTTATAGTATATCTAGTTATGAGAGAGACTGAAGGAGAAAACGGGAGTGAAATTACATTTGAAATCAGTGTGAGCTTCTCTGTGCTGAGCCCTTCGCCTGCCCCCATCAAATCTAGGTTTTTGGTCTGACTGTCCACAGACCTTTGGTGGCTTTTGTGACCATCGGGGGCGGGGCAGGCGGCTTTCCAGGGAGGTCTTGTCTGGGCCGCGTCTCCAATCACAGACCCCAGGGGTCACATCCAGCCTTCATGTGGAGGCCCGACCTGCATCTTGGTCTTATGGCTTATTGCATACCGTTTAATATTTTTTATTCCTGATTTAGGAAATAGATGACTGGGTTGTTTTGTATTATTTTACATTTCTTTAAAAACCTCAATTAGGTTGCTTTTCATTTGTGTGAGGCCCTTCAGTGATTTCTTTTTCGTGTGTGTCCGTGACCCTCAATGGAAAAATGTCTCTTCCTATCCCATCCAGACGGCCACTCAGAAAAGCCCTCTGCAGGGCCCGGTAGGCATGTGGAGCAGGGGTTCCCAGCCTGCCCCAGCAGCAGAATGTACTGGAAAGCTCTGGGAAAACGCTGCTTCCCAGATCCTGGCAGTGAATCTGGGCCTGCATTCTGGTAAGAAACGCAGCCCGGGATTTTGGTCCGATGCAGGGTTTCTCGGCACTCTTGCCATTTGGGGCTGGTGAGTTCTATGTTGTGGGGCCTGTCGTCTGTGTCGTAGGATGTTAGCAGCAGCCCCGGCCTTCCCCTAGTGGGTGCCAGGAGCATACCTCTCGCCACCATGATGTCTCAGGGCATGGCTCAGTGTCCCCTGGAAGGCAGAATCGGCCTGGCCGAGAGACACTGTTTGGCCCTTTGTCGATCACGCATCCTGCACGGCCTGACACATGACTAGAGCCTGGGCCTCCATTCCGAGGCGCAGAACCCCGTCGATTCGCCCAGCCTCAGCTTCCTGATGATCTCCCAGCCTCTTAGGCAACTCCAGGATCCCACGGAGATGTTGTCCCAAGGGTCAGAGAAAGACATTCCCGCCCACATGCAGGATTTGGAGAGAAGAGAGCCAGCCAGAGCCCGGCGCGCCCAGCGGGGTGGCGCCCGAGCCCTGTCCCCCAAGCCTCTGCCCCAGCGACAGGCCCCTTCTCCCGACTCACAGGCTGTCTCCTCCTTTGCAGAGAAGAACTGTTCCTACTTCAGGCATTTCAACCCAGGCGAGAGCTCAGAGATCTTCGAATTCACCACTCAGAAGGGTGAGCTGGGACGGAAAGGGGGGCGTGGGGCAAAAAGGGGTTTGTGTCTCGTGCCACTGAGTCAGAAAGCCATTCAGCGCCCGGCGAGAAGCAGCCAGTCCTGGTGCATTTGAGTGACGGCCCTGTCACCTCCCCACTCCGGAGGCTCCGAGACAGCAGCCGCCATCTCCAGGTGCCAGAGCGTCTCGGCGCCGGGGAGAGCCGGCAAAGCCACGTGGCCTGGCAGCGCCTGCTCAGTCCAGTGGCCCAAGGGCAGCTGCCTGACAGGAGCTAAGGAAGTGGAACGAGAGCTCAGGATCCTGTGATGGCCGCGGGGCGGGCGGGTCAGAGTCGGCGGGACAGTCCTAGCTCCTCCCTGGCCTAGAAATCCCTCCGGAGACCCTGCAGGGCACAGGGTGCTCCAGGGGCCACCAAGGGGGGGACAGACCCATGCCAGTGCACGCTCGGATGGCGGCAAGCACTGCGCATGAGCGTGCACACACAGACACTCACACTGACACGCAAACACACTAACACACACACACACTGACACCCTGACACACACACCCAGACACAGACATACATACAAACACACTAACACATACACAGACACACAGACACACATACAAACACACACTAACACACAAACACACTAACATATACACACACTGACACACACACTAACACACACTGACACATGTGTGACACACGGCCACTCACAGGCATTCCACACTGACACACACACTAACACATACACACCCTGACACCCAGACACACCCAGATACACACACTGATACACACTGATACACATGTACACAATGACAGACACTAACACAGAGGCACTACACACTGACACACACACTAACACATACACACCCTGACACACACACTGACACACGTGCACACGCGGGCACACACTAACACAGGCACTGCACACTGACACACACTGACACACACACTGACACACGTGCACACGCGGTGACAGCCCTCGCACGCGGGCCCGCGCAGACGGGCGTGCACCCAGGGCAGGCGGCCCCCAGCCCAGGGCCGGCCTCCTCTCCTGCCGCCCTGTCGGGCCGGTCCCCGGGAGGGTCTGGGCCACGCGCCTCGGGGACGACCCGCGAGGGCAGCGCCGTCTCGGCGGCCGGGGCCAGGTTCGTGGCGCGGGAGGCGGAGTTTGTGGGCGTGGGTGTCGCCGGCCCGGCGAGGGCACGGGGTCCTGAGGCGCCTGTGTCCGCAGAGTACAGCATCTCGGCGGCCGCCATCGCCATCTTCTGCCTGGGCTTCGCCATCGTGGGCACCATCGGCGTCCTCCTGTCCCTCGGGAAGAAGCGGGACTACCTGCTGCGGCCGGCCGCGATGTTCTACGCCTTCGCGGGTAGGTGCGCCCCCCCCCCCGGGCCTGGGCAGGGGCGTTCCGGGCCGTCCGAGCCACCGAGGTGTCGCCCTCGGCCACTCGGGCCTTCCCAGGGAGCAGGCGACGCGGGCGGAGGACGGGGCAAACTCTGCAGCCCCGCCGGGGCCCCTCCAGGCAGGGCTCCCGCGGGGGAGGCGGTGGTCGCCGCGGTGGTGGCAGCAGCGCGGGAGGCGGGGGTGAGGTTGGGGACGGCGGCGCTGAGTCCCGGCCTGTCCCCAGGTCTCTGCATCTTCGTCTCGGTGGAGGTCATGCGGCAGTCGGTGAAGCGCATGATCGACAGTGAGGACACCGTGTGGATCGAGTACTACTACTCCTGGTCCTTCGCCTGCGCATGCGCCGCCTTCGTCCTCCTCTTCCTCGGCGGCCTGGCCCTGCTGCTCTTCTCCCTGCCCCGAATGCCCCGGAACCCCTGGGAGTCCTGCATGGACGCGGAGCCCGAGCACTAGCCCCGCGGGGCGCCAGCGGCCCTCGGCCCTTCGCCCAGGAAGCCCAGCCCCGGCCCAGAACCTTCCAGAGAGGTGACAGAACTTTTGCCCTGGCCCTGTCCACCCACCCCAGACAGTCGCGGGCTGCTTCCCCTCTCTGAGCTCTTGGCGAGGCTGCGACGGGCTCCTCTGCGAAGAGAGCGAGTGGACCGAGGCCAGACCTCCCAGGCCGAGGGGGCAGGGCCGGCAGGTGGCGGGGTTTGGAGGATCCCAGCCTCCTGTGGAGCCCCAGGCGTCCCCACTGCGCCAGTTGTCTCTGCTGAGCTGACTCCAGGTGTCCTTTATAAACCCCCCAGGGACGACCTGTGCTCATTTGCCAGTTCTGAGTGTTCTCCTGGGTAAATAGCCAGCCCCTCTCTCCTCCTGGGCGACAAGACACACTCTCTCCAGTGAGCCCCGAGAAGCATTTTTAACTGGGTAGAATCTGACTGTGGCTTGAAATAAAAGCTCTCAGAAAACTTGCTTTTTCCTTGCGCCTTGCATAGGAATTGCTCGGATTCCTGGCCGCCATAGTCCAAGGGTGGGGGGCCAACCCTAATGAGAAAGGAAAATATCTTGCCCGGGTATGTTGAGGACTTTTATGGGGACAAGCAGGGAACCCACGTGGCTTAGGGGCTCTGAACTCCAACTTGTATCTGTGGGTCCCGAAATTGTTTGGGGGAGAAACTAGAAACCCTCTGATTAAGTAAGGGTGTTAAAAATAGGAGGGGTTATTTCTAGAATCTGCTGGCATGCAGTTGCCAGCTAAAGCAGCCAGCCACGGGTGTCTGATTTCTGATGCTGGATTTTTGTTGCAAAGAACATCAGGAAGCAGAGCTTAGCAGTCAGGCACTTAGGGCCACACGGAGCGGAGCGCCATAATTTGCACTCTTCTGCCTTCCAGAACCCCGCAGTGTTTAGCCTTCAGAAATGGTAGTTAGACGTGGTTGGCGGATAAGGTCCTTTATTTCCTGCCTTGAATGCCAGAAGTCCCATTTGGACTTTATTCCTCTAGGGCAGGGTTGGCAAACCAAAGCCCACGGCCAAACCTGGCCCACCGCCTCTTGTGTGGCCCACAAGCTAGGAGTGGTCTTTATAGTTTTAATGGCTTCTTAAAAATCAGAAGAAGAATAATATCTCATGACACATGAAAATCATATGAAACTCAAATCTCAGTGCCCATCAATAAAGTTTTATTGGATCTCAGCCACGCCCATTGTGTGGCTGCTTTCGTGACAAGAGCAGTATTGAGTAGTTGTGAGGGAGATCTTCCTGCCTGCGGAGCCGAAAATATTTACCCTTTGGCCCTTTATGGAAAATCTTTGCTGCCCCCTATTCTGGAGTGAAACCGTCGCTTACTAACCCCAAGTTGTTTCCGTCTGGAAAGTGAGGGAAAGATACTGTTTTTGCCTTCAACTCGCCTAGAACAATTGAGAAGAAGAAAGCATGAGTCTGGAGTAGCTGGCCAGTGGCCATGGTTGGATTCGTGAAGATTCTTCTCTGGTATCTCAGGGGCCTGGGCTGGTCTTGGAGGGGTGGCAGAGGGGACTGTCCCAAAGGTACAATGATAGAGTCCAGGAGCAGACTCACTCTGGGTAAAGGAGAATGGGGCAATGGAAGTCCCAGGCAGCTGGGGAGTTGGGCCACAGTTTATGAGTAAGACAGATGACTTCGTCCCATAAATAACCACTTGGGAGGTCAATTATTGTTTCATTATTATTTTTACTTTTAGCAGAATCAGGCTGGTGTGCATTTTATATTTTCCCTGGATGTCTATATGTCTGGCCCCCAAAACACTTCTGAATGGAATAGCCACTGAACAGAACCCACGTGGCTTCCCGGAGTTTAAGTCTCTTGGTAGAGACTTATGGAATCTCGATGCAGACCAAAGAGTTGGAGGTGGCTGCCGACAGCCACACATCCTGGCGTCTGTCCCAGCTTCTGCAGAGAAAATGACAACATAGCAAAGCAAAATACAGCCGGATGCCAACAAACAGATCAACCAAACCGATGAGGGAAAACGTCTTTTTCCCCACATCCCCCCATCCGCTATTCACAAGGAAGGATGTCCGGAGTGGGCAGGGGTCAGCCTCGCCCCCGCTGGCCCTGGCTAGGCCTGGCCAAGGCCTGGAGGCGGGTCCCCTGGGCCTCGTTACCGAGTCCATCCAGGCTCCACCCTGCGTGGCAGCCACTGGCCCAACTACAGAGCAACGGTGCGGTTTGCTCTGAAGCCTGAGGCTGGCCCCCGAACCCACAGAGTCTCACTCCTTGCTGAGCGTGTGCGTGAATGTAACAGTCACCAAACCCCAATGTTCCATCACACTTTACCTTTCTCAGCGTTTTTCTACCCATCCTCTTCCCTGAATAAGGAACGTAGCAGATACAGGGCCGGTAACTAGGACATCAAGATAAATATTTCAGTGTGATGTTTTTCAAAACTGGTGATAAAATACACATAACATGAAATTACCGTCTTAACCATTTCTAAGTATGCAGTTTAGTAGTGTGAAGTACACTGTCATTGCTGTGCAACTGTCACCGCTGTCCATCTCCAAAACTCTTTTTGTCATCCCAAACTGAAACTGTGTACCCATGAAATATTAACTCCCCATTTCCTCCTTCTGCAGCCACTTTCTGTCTCTGTGAATTTGTCTCCTCTGGGGCCTCATGCAAGTGGAATCATACAGTATTTGTCTTTTTGCAACTGGCTTATCTCACTCAGCACATGTCCTTGAGGTTCACTCACGCTGTAGCATGTGTCAGAGCTGCCTTCCTTTTCACAGCTGAATAATGTCCCATGGTGTGCACACGGTGCGGCTTGTTTAGCCACGCCTCCATCGATGGGCACTTGGGTTGCTTCTGCCTTTTGGCTGTTGTGACTAGTGCCGCTATGGACGTGAGTTCATGCTCTGAGCCTCGGGTTTCAGTGCTTTTGGATATTATTCTAAGTGCAATAATATATTTTAAAATCAAAATTAAAGCAAAATATCCACAATATCAAAAGTTTAAATAGAGACAGGATCCATATGTCACTGATTTTTTTTTCCTTTTGTGTCACCACACTCCTATGGCTGGGTATGGCCCTGGCAGGCAGCCATAATTATCCCCATTGTACAGAGGAGAAAACTGAGGGTCAGAGAAGGGCTTGCTTACCTGGTTAACTGGCACCAGAGCAGAAATTAGAACCAAGGCTGATGGTTTCCTACCTGTCTGACAGGTAGAAAACCGTCCTATCAATCCTCATTTGGCTTCTGCCATGGTTACGGGGGAGTGACCACGAGATGTCTCCCTCTCTTTTTGGCCAACGCATGGCAGGGCCTGCCCAAGCGGTTTGGCTCTTAATCCCTCCTCCAAACTGAACACTTCAACGTACCTCTCTTTTTTGCTGGCTGCCCTAAAGTACAGGGGTTTTAATCACATCCTACTGCAATATTTCCCTGGCCAGTGACTTGCCCCTTTGTGACCAAATATTTTATTTACAAATCCATTTCTTTTCTTTTCTTTTTTTTTTTTTTTTTGAGACAGAGTCTTGCTTTGTTGCTCAGGCTAGAGTGAGTGCTGTGGCGTCAGCCTAGCTCACAGCAACCTCAAACTCCTGGGCTCAAGCTATCCTCCTGCCTCAGCCTCCCAAGTGGCTGGGACTACAGGCATGTGTCACCATGCCCGACTAATTTTTTCTATATATAATATTAGTTGGCCAATTAATTTCTTTCTATTTATAGTAGAGATGGGGTCTCGCTCTTGCTCAGGCTGGCTTCGAATCCTGACCTCGAGCAATCCGCCCGCCTCGGCCTCCCAGAGTGCTAGGGTTACAGGCGTGAGCCACCGCACCCGGCCTACAAATGCATTTCTAATGTATAACCCACCCACTTTCAGAAGAGACTAGAAGTGGAGACCAGGTGTTAACATGCCCACGATGCAGAATGTATCTGTCCCACTGGGGACTGGGACTTGGGTGGAGGCTACCCCGGCCACCTGGAGCCCTCACTTCACAGTGTCACCCCATCCGGCCACTGAGGCCATAAATTAACCCCCACAAGAGGCACAGATCCTGCCCGGTGAAGAAAGTTAATTAAGGTCACTGCCATCACAAGGAGTGACACTTTCTGTTCTTTTGACTTTGCTTCTGACAAGAATTTTTGCCTGAGTTGGAGGCCCTGACTTCTTGGAAATTGTCCCCATCCGAGGTTTAGACTTGCCCCTCTCGGCCTGCAGAGCGGCCCCGGTAACCCCACGGGGAACGGGGGGGGGGGGGGGGGGCGGACTTTGCACAGTCACAGCGGGAGAGCTATTGGCGCTCAGAAAATGCATGTCCCAGGCACTGGCTTGAACAGCCACCCACCCCCCGCCATCCCGGCCAGGCAGATGCGGTCGGAAGCGAATCGATGCTGCGTTTCCGAGGGGCTCAGAGCAACCAAGCGCTGTTCCAAAGCACCGATAACGTCAGCAAAAACAGGGGCGCAGTTTACCGAGAAGCATCCAAGAGGCAAAGAGGTGACGATGTGTCATCTTCTCCATCTCGCGGGAGGAACACAAGGAAAGGGAAACAAGACAGCCGAGGCCCGTGTGGTCCCCAGCAAGTGGCAGCTGGCAAGGCCGGGAACAGATGAGACAGCAGACAAGGCCAGAGGAACTCAGGAGAGGCCTGCGAAACCCTTGGCTACCCACACTGTGTGCTGGGCTGTACGGGGGAGGCCTGGAGGTGGAGTAGACAGCTCTAGACGAAGGCTCTGAACCTTCTCTGGGCCTCGGTTTCCTCATCGGCGAACGTTAGAGTAGCTGGCGCTGGGCTGCAGCACGTGTCAGGCTGCTCCGTGTTCAGGTCCCCCAGCCTAGATCACAGCTGTTCCCTGGATCTACTAACACAAAGAAATAGTCCCACGGTGCGGCGGGAAGCATGACTTACACATTCTAAAATCCACCAGGAAATATGCTTGCAGTAAGGTTAACGACGCCAGTTAACCCGTGCCAGGCCCTGGGCTGACCACTTGAGATCTGTTTTCTACCTTAAGCCTCATGACAACCCTGCGTGTCAGCGACTATTATTGATGAAGAAACAGACGCAGAAGGGTCGTGTGTCTCACCCAAGGCCACACAGCTAGTATGTGGCAGAGCGAAGAGTCAGAACCATGTTTTCTCTGCTTCCAGAACCGAGCTGTTGGCCCTTTTTGGGTGTAATATGAGTTCAGTCTCACCGGGTCCCGATTATCCCGGGAGACGAAGGGTTCCCGAAGGTCCCTCAAGAGCTGTGCAGATTGGACTTCAATTTATTCCAACTGGTATGAAAAGCGACGTGCACTTATATATGCTACACGCATCATTTTGGTACAAAAGAGCCCTCCAAAGAGTTAAAACCTTTGCTGTAATTTTCTTCCAAGGAGACTTTAAAAACAAGTCTCTCCAGCCCTTTCTCTCTGCATACATTTCACTTTCTTGTATGTGGTTCGGAGATTAGAATTTTTGCTCTGTACTGGTCGTT